TATACTGAGTCTCTATTTTAAGTTTTGTTTGGATTATGGTTCCAAGAGTAAAATAATATTAATAGAAATAGTAATGACAATGATAAAAATGACATTATTATGAGATTCACGCTTCAACAAGATACTTTCCAAGCTTAAGACTTTATATTTGTAGATGAGTTTCCTTGGGAAAATATATCTGGGTTTGGAATGTCTTATCGTGATTGACGGCATCTCCTTTGACCTGAAAATAAGCAGGACACTCTTCAAATGCCATTTTTTCCAGCTTTATCAAAGAGTTCCTCCTGCCGTTCTTCTTTCCCGTTCCTTTTTTTCCCTGTCCGCCGTCCTTCTTTCTTCCCTTCCTTTCTGTCTTGTTAATGTATAAATAAGTTAAAATTGTAAAATATAAAAATAGTTATTTTTAAAAACTAATAGAAACCATGCATCTATGTGTGTATTTCTGTTATATTAACTCTGCCTAACTTGAAAATTAATAATTAGTATAACTGTTGACAATGTATTTAAACCCCTGAAACTCACTTGTAGGGTTTGTTCACCATGTAGAAAACGAGGGCAGATGACCAGTTCAGCTGAGGCTTTGCAGCTGCTGCTAATTTGTAGGGACACATTAGAGTGGATGTCCAAATTTAGTAAATTAGTCTATAGAGCCATCGTTAATAATATCAATGGAGAAAAGGTGTAAAACAAGACATGTGAATAATATATATATTTTTTTTTAATTAAGTTTTGTTTTTCTTTACCCCAGCTGCATCAGGTTCTCATTTTATAGTACACCAGCCTTATTGGTTCATGTAAGGGGACTTCTCGTGTGTGTGTGTGTGTGTGTGTGTGTGTGTGTGTGTGTGTGTGTGTGTGTGTAGATTTTTTGTTTGTAGATTCATTTATTTATTCATTTATTTTCTTTTATCTCATTTTATTTTCCCATTCCCTTCTTCCCTTCCATGAGCAACTATTATAATGTATGTGATGTCTGTTATTTATTTGTAAAATATATAATATTGATATGTGAATATCATTTTAATGTACATAAGTGTAATTGCCCTATAGAGCAGATCCTCTTTTGTCACTTGTTTTTACTTGCAAATGACTTTAAGATGGATTCACCTTTTGGTGTTCACACCAGGCATGGTCTGTTTCCTGCAGACTCTGTGGAGTGTTTCCATTGTGAGCAATCAGTACATTCTCACTGCCTGTTTCTTCTGATACTGCCAGCTCCCCATAAGCAGATACTCAAGGAGGAGACTTCTGGGCCATCGAGTGCAATTTAACAATGTTCTGCCACATTGCTCTCCAGAATGCTTGCACTTATCTACATTCCCATTAAAATAATTACATGTTTATAAATTGTAAATAAGCAGTTTTATTTTTCATACTGATATAGTCATAGTATTCTCACTGAACAACCATCCAACACATATAATATCCCTTGAAGTCAAGATCCCCTAATCACACATCCTGGTCAACGTATGATACTATCTTCCTAACATTTTGCAAAATGATGAGTATTTATTAACTCATTCATTTTCATTAGTGCTTTAATTTGTACTTTCTAATCACTAATGAGTCTGGGGTTTTCTTCATATACTTTATTATTATTATTATTGGGGAATAACCATTGTCATTGGTTACACATTGCTTTCATGCTACAATGGCATAGTGACTCTTTTTAAGGAGGGCACAGCTCACAGTGGCCCATGTGGGGATCGAACCAGCAACCTGGTGTTATCAGCACCACGCTCTCACCAACTGAGCTAACGGGTCACCCCTTCATATACTTATAGCACTTCTGAATTTCCTTTTTTTTTTAAATCATCTTCATTTTACTAATTCCCAAGATATTTCTATTTTATTTCTATTGGGTTGTTGGAAAAGGCATGACGTATTTTGTCTATGTTTTTCATTGCAAAAATGTGTCATGACTTTTCCAACAACCCAATAGAATATCATTTTTATTAATTTGTATAAAAGCACAAAATATTATGATAGCTTATAACAGCACAAAGGTGGTGATGATTACAAAGGTGATGAATTGTATATTGCCTGCCAATACTAAGGGCTGGGGGGAAAAAAAGGTCTGTGAGATAAATAAATAAATAAGTAAAAGTCATAAGCTTTTGTGTGACATATATTAGAAAGTACAGTAACCTTTAAGATTTTGATGGTTAACTAAATAATTTTAATCCATAGATGTTTTTGAAGTAATGGTAAATATAGACAAAGAAATAACATACTCAAATTTTTGTATTATAAAAATAAGAAGAGCTAGTGCTAGTTTGAGAAGAATGCAAAATTAAGTAATCCCCAAAGTTATAAAAAACCCATTTGAGAACATTTTATGTTGATTGTTTTTTTTAATTCAAAAATTATCTGGTTATTGTCCTTTTTTTGGTTTTTAATAAACTATCAAGTATAAGATTTTGAGCAGAAAGTCCTATCATCACTGGTGCACATTAAGCAAAAATACAGATTATCTTAGTTTTCCTTTTAGAAGCCATTAGAATAGGCACTTTCTAGGGATATAATTGAAGAATCAGCTGTATAATCTCAAACTTGAACAATTGATTAACAAACATGTTGATATACATGTTGAGAATATAAATATTTGCTCATAATGCTAAAAATAGATTTAACCATTTATATGTATTTATACTATCTTCCAGGAAATATTTCTTAAGTAAAGTCAGAGTAAAAAGTTATCTGAAGTTTGAATGTGCTTACATTTAAATCAATTAAGTGATAAAATACTATTTTAGTGAACTTCCATGTTGTACGATCATTTTTAACAAATTTTTGCACGTGTTTTAAAAGTTTATAGAATTTTACAATTAACATATTTTTCAAAACTACTGTATTTGAAATCACATGCTAATTCTCACAACTACTAAAACCATCTTATGAATTAATAAGGAATGATTTATATATTCATTTTGTTATTTTAGTGTGATTCTTATAGGATTTTAGGAAGTTGGAGAAGCAATGGAAAGGGGAGGTGTTTTTAAATGACTATGTTCAAGTAGTTATATTCCCTATAGTATCTGATACTCACCATTGAAACCAGGAATAATAGGATAAAAGAACTGGCAGAATCATTTGAACTAAAGCACTGCATCAATTCTGGTGGGAAATTGACTGAAGGGAAAAGTTTGGCTGGTGTGTCATGGGACAGAGCAGATCATGTAGGTCATGACATCATGTACATATCTAGACAAGACCCTCATTATCTGTATATATTTTTTCAGCAATGTTATTAATTCTAAACAATTTTCCTTTTTATGACTAGAATCAGTTCTCATTTCACTGGATAGTTATCTTTTGTAAATTTGTTCCTTTATTTTGTGATGTGAAAAATGAACAGATAAATCCAGCAGAAGCATCATGAAGATTATGTAGCTATTTCTTTTCATAGAACATGCTCCTGCAGAAAAATGACAATGCAATTTATGGATTATAATACCGTTAATTTGTTTCCATTCAAAACCATCTGTTCATAAATGTACTCTTTCTCCTGAGTGAAAGAAAAAAAGTGTGTTTTTCAGTGTGCTTTTTGTCTTTCAGTACTAAAATTCTCTTTAGTGGTGTTTCCACTGTATTTTATGTAATTTTCTCATTTTATGTGTACAACAGCCTGGGATTGTTGAAATAAGCCTAAGGCCCCTCTGAAGATAAAGTTTTCTTGGAGTAAGTTGTAGAAAAGTCATTCTTGTTTGTGTTATTGTGGGCATTTTTATGAACTTCTTTTGCCATTTCACTATAGTAAAAGCATTGACCTTATTTGTTTGCAACTGGTAATATTCCCTTCAATGTATATTGAAATCATTAAGACTTTGGAAGACTCAATTGCATCATGTTAAGAATTTCACATTGAAACCAATTTTGAGCAATAGGGAAGTTCACATAAGTACCTGTGAAACTCATTGAAAACCTAATTGTTCAAGTATTTTATTTAATTTTAACCTAGTATGGCTTACATATATTTTTCTCAGGTAAAGCTGGTAGAATTCACAAATATTTGGGCACTATAGCTTTAAGTGGTTTCATCTAATTTATACCCCACAAACATAACCACATAGTAGGACCATCTGATCTGTGTCAAATATTTGTCTCCAAATTATTTTGACAGCTCACACGTATAAAATAGACCCAAGAAACTAAATGTAAAATATTGAAATATTAATTATTTTACCACTTTTTGTATAAAAACTGTCTTTCTAAGTAGAGAGGAAACATGAAATGCCCTGCAACAAGCACAGCAACATAATTTACAGTACCCAGTGCAAAATGAAAATGTAGGGCTATTTGTACAAAGATTATAAAGAATTTCAAGATAGCAACAGCAAACAAAGCATTGAGCCACGCATGGGAGCCTTCTGAGCACAGGTAAGGAGCTCACAGGCCACACACACACCCACGAAGATGCCCTCTCTATACATTCCTACTGCTTCTACTCAGGAATGCCTTGCATGCAATGAAGAAAAGACACAACGTGGAAATCTGTTTTATTTGAGCAAAGTTGAAGCTTTAACAGTTTCTTATGGGAGCTTCACAATAAAATCCCCATGACTTTTTTCTGCCACTCCCATTCCACCACAAAATATGGAAGTTTACACTCTTCTAGTAGCTTGTTCTCCATGGAAAATTTATATTGGTGGCTGTGATTATTTTGTATACTACACAAAATTGATCTAAACAACATATATTCAATAATGTTTTTCTTTATAGCAATGTGAACAAAATGCATGTGTTTGATATTTAATAGATTTCAAAAGAAAACTTTTGCATGTGGTATTAGATACATGGTACGTGTTCAGGTAGGTTGATAAAAATCAAACTACATATGGTTTGGGTATTAATGTTTCAGAAAACTTTGAACTGATGTCCTCTGAAATGGTGTGCTGAGTTGGTTTTCAATGCAGAGCAATGTCTTCTATGCCCTATGAACCCAGACTATAAATAGCACACATTTTTTTAAAATGTTATACTTGAATTTGTATTTTTAGGGATGCAAGTATTGGAATGGAATGGAGTTCCTTTAACTTCTAAAACATATGAAGAAGTACAGAGTATCATTAATCAACAAAGTGGGGAAGCAGAAATATGTGTAAGACTGTGAGTTTTTCCCCATCTTTTTGTTTCCATTTTTTGGCTATTCATGGCTCTTTTAATTTAAAATTGTTAAGGTGGAACCTTTGCCAGTCAGCAAGATTTTCTGTATTTAAAAAATAAACTGAATACAAGTTTTATAGATTTCTTGTGTTCAGAATCAAAGTCTAAAGCATAGAAAGAATTCAGCTAATTTTGTTTCTGATTACTATCAATACCACTCCCCTTTCATGCTTTTATTGAAACATGCTTCATTTAAAAGAAAGCCTAAACCCATTTAGATTTCATGGATGTGTATAGTGTTTCAAAATAAACTTACATTTAATTCATAAAGATTTCACCTTAAATAATCATTTTTATCAGCTGACTTTTAACAGCATTGCAAGAATATATTTGGTTAGAAGGGTTAGCATGCTTTGAAATTGCTTTATATCATTAACCACTTCTCATTTACCTACTGAAAAAATTACTCAGGGTAGTTGGGGAAAAGGGCCTTTCGTCTCAGGCTTTCTCAATGTTTTTCTTAATTCTTTTGTTTGCTTTAATTTTTAGGGACCTCAATATGCTCTCAGACTCTGAAAATCCCCAGCACCTGGAACTTCATGAACCCCCAAAAGCTGGTAGGTGAAAGTACCCTGTTTTCAACAGTGGGTAAAAATACAGATATAGAAGCACAGATGCTCCTCTACTTAGGAGGAGATTACATCTCAGTATTAACCTATTGCAAGTTAAAAATCTTGTAAGTCAAAGATGCATTTAATATACCTAATTTACCAAACAGAATAGCTTAGCCTAGCTTACATTAAATGTTCTCCGAACACATACATTAGCCTAGAGTTGGGCAGAATCATCTAACACAAAGCCTATTTGATAATAAAGTGTTGAATATATCATGCAATTAATTATGCATACCACTTTCCCACCATCGTAAATTTGAAAAATTATAAGTTGAACTATCTTAAGTTGGGAACCATCTGTAGTTATAGAGACAGATATACCTGTAGATGAAGATATAGGCATACGAGTAAACATAGATATAGGCAAAAATAAAGTTATAGTCTGATAGGTATTTATATATTTAAGTAATCATAAACAAAAACACAAGCATGGTAGCTACTTTTTTAGCATTCTGCGGAAACATATTTGCATGTTAAACCCATTAAAGAAATTCATATGAAATTCTAGCTGTGTGATTTCACATTTTTAATTCTTTAAAAGTAAATTCATCCCGTCAAAGTAATCCATGGAGCCATTTATTTTTGGACTTATATGATTTTTAGATAACACTTGGTTCTTTTTACTATAACTGGGTTTTGGAACATTTATTCCTGAACCTTTTGATTGCATTTTTATAATAAATAAAAATCAATATGGAATTTCGTAAGTACATAATGAAAAGATTTGACTTTCTTAGATAACAAATATAGTCAATAAATTTAGATCAATTGTGAGATTAAAAAAATGTAACTTAGTCCTTTGTTTAAGAAATCTGTATTGAGCACTTCCTATGCTACAGCCAGCCTTCTAAAAGTCTGGGTTATTGCACTAAATAGAACAGACTAAGGCCTGGAGAAACCTTCATACATCAGTAAAGGTAAATATACTGTGTGAAATTCCCCCTCTTAGAAAAAGGTATATGTAAGATTTAGAGAAAGAAAAAGAACTAATTATACAAACTAAATTCCAGTGAATAAAATAGAATGTTTTATCTTCATACAATGCTTTATATAAAACACTGAAAACCTTTTTCTGAAGATGTAATACAAACCTCAGTTTCCCTCTGTCACTCAGCATTCTTTCACTCTTCTCTGAGCCTTGTAGACTCCTTTAGAAATAAATACATAAAGGTACAATTATGTTTCTTTATTTATTTTAACTTAGCTTGTTTTGTAAGTAATATTTTGACTTGGCCATCTGGAGCTCCAATCCGTTTCATGGTATTAAGTACCTATGTAACTGAGAAATGTGTAAAGCCATTTCATTTTGTTGTAGTGGATAAGGCGAAGTCCCCAGGGGTGGATCCGAAGCAGTTGGCGGCCGAGCTCCAGAAGGTTTCGCTACAGCAGTCCCCACTGGTCCTGTCATCTGTCGTTGAAAAAGGATCTCACATCCATTCCGGTCCTACATCTGCAGGGTCCAGTTCTGTCCCCAGCCCCGGGCAGCCAGGGTCTCCCTTGGTGAGCAAAAAGAAACACAGCAGCAGCAAGGTGAGAAGCGTCTGATGGAACCTCGGAGTTGTTTATTTTCTAGCTCGTTGTTTAGACTAGGCGATCGGAAATACAATACCATTTTCTAAAGTATTCCTGAGATTTTTCATGTCCTAATAATCTATTGAAGTCCCCCCCACCCAAAAAATAACAACACATTTTTCCACTTCTGAGTATATAACGGATTCAAGACGTATCAAGGTGACATATTTCTACATCTCTTAAATTGTTTTACCAGACAAATGTGTCTGATGTTTCTTAATTCCTGGTGTGTTCTTTTTTTCTTTATTTTTGTTGCATAAATTTGAGCCTCTTTGTTGTATCAAATATTAGCTTCACATCTTTTTGGAAATGCAAGATATATATTAAGTTAGATTTTGTAACTTAAAGGTAAAAGGGACACAGATATAGAGAATTAAGGATAATAAACAAGGAAAACAAGTATGCCATTTTGAATTTTAACCCTAATTCCATACTAATAAATTTCTCTTGATGCAAATCTTTATTTGGAGCGAATATTTCTCACACTATTATTTCAAAGTTACTGGAGAATGAAAAGAAAACATAGAAATAAGTGTTTTACTTTATAAAAGCAGATGAAAATGTAGACTGTTTGCAACTTTTACCTCATGGATTCATTGTTAATAGAGAAACTTTCCTCATAGTCAATAAATGCATTAGGAAAACATTATTTTGTTAAAATATGTGTAAAGGCTTTTTTTTATGTAGTGAGATATATGGGAGCGACAGGCTATTCTTGGATGAATTGACTGGACCTCAGAACACAGTTTGTTTTACTAAGTATAAAAAAACACAGCAGGTGTCACCAAAAATCCCTTTTATTCCGAAGCCAACATCAAAGGTAGGATGATTTTAATCACTGCATCATAAAATGACTTACTCCAAACTAAATATAGCAAGGGTTATGAAGATAATTCAAGGATAGTTAGACTCATTTTCCAAATAAATTGTAACACAACTATATTTTATAACATGCAATTATGTATTAACTTTGAAAAATTACTTCATGGAGGCTCCCTGTTTCCTGAGTTACAAACTGCTATTTCTTTTCTTCACATAAAAGATAATTTATTTCTCAATATCACCACGTACACCTAAACATGTGACAAAATCCGCTGGCAAATTTTCCAAAGCAAGCATATTATAGTTCTGCAGCTTTGTCATCCTGATATTTTTTTATTTCACCAGTTGACATCACCATCCTCTCAAAAAATTTAGAAAAATTTAAGAGCACTATTGCCTCTTTTTTCCTCCTTATTCACCTTGTCTAATTAGTCACTGAATTCTAATCCTCTGAATTCTAATTTTCTGATAAGTCTCTAGTAATATTCTCTCTTCTCTGAACTTACCAATTTCCTTTAGCAAAGCATTATTATTATTATTTACCAAACATCATTGCACTCACTACTGCTAATTGCTCTCACCAGTCTCTCTTCCTTCCTCTTAAACTATCCTCAAACTATCTGACCTGTGATACAGTGATCTGATTGGATCACCATCCTGTTTAAAAGGCATCCCTGCTACCTGGAACATTGGCCCCACCTCTGCCTAGGACCCTATCCTGCTCATTGTAAAAGGGCCTGGTCAGCGGTTCTCCTTGGGAGATTTTAACAGTAAGCATAATGTTGTCATATCTTTACAGTAGCCTTGCTAATAAGTACTCTATTTATTAGGCTTTCCAACTCATTCCTACTTTCCACCGACATTTTTGGATACCACTTCAGTGTTAGGGGTCGTACTGGGTACCCAAGATACAAAGATGGATAAAATCCCTTCCCTGCAAACTATGTAGACCAGTGTTTTTGAGGTATGCTCGCAGTCCACCAGCATCAGCACCATATAGAAACTTATTAAAAATACAAGTACTTGATCCCACCCTAGGCCTTCTGAATCAGTAGCTCCAGGGATGGCACCAAGCAACTTGGCTTTTACTAAGTTCTCCAAGTGGGTGTGAATCCCCTTGAAGTTTCAGAAGTGCTGATCTTATTACAGATGAAGATGATATGTGAACAAGTTCAATGAAGGCATAATGTTGGAAGTCACTAAGGAGCGTAGAGAAGGCGCTTAGTAGGATGGGGTTAGGAAAGCTGGTGTTCAGCTAATGAACCAATTTGGTAAAGGGAGACAAGGAGTCAACATTCCAAGCAAAGAGTATAACAAGAAAAAACTCATCAACAGAAAATTCCATGCCTAACGCACAGGTGTACAAATGATCTACAGGTAAAGGAATAAAGGAAAAGCCTAGATGGTTGTAAATTGGAGGACATTATATGCCATATCTGACTTTACACTACAATCTCCAGGAAATGAAGAGCCAGTGACAAGTTTTAGACAAAAAAAAAATGAAATAAGAATAATAGGAAGGCTTTTCTTTGAAGTCTTTCCATTTTCTAATCATTCCCTAAAGTCAGAAGTTATCCTTCCTTCCTTCTTCCCTCCCTCCAAAGTGCACATTTTATGCATCTATTAAGGCAATTTATATCTTGATCATAGTTACTTGCTCACGTACTTATCCCCCCAATTGGGCTGCAAACTCCTAAGAACCAATAACCATTTCTTATTTTCTCTATAGCCTCCTATGCACATAGTAGAGTGGCTTGCACAGAATAGTAACAAAATAAATACTGTGAATTAAAACATCAGTAATAATATGGGGGTACAAAATTGGATTTTTTGTAATATGTTAACTTTAGAGGAAATGATTAGAATATGAAACAGGTATTGGAGGACAAACATCAAGGAAATTACATTGACAGATTTTATGGTAAGTGGTATTATTGTCTATGCCAAGAATGTGGCCTATGTAGTTTTTACAGTATTTTTGCTAAAATAAAAAGTTATGGAGTTACACTGTCCATAACGGTAGCTGTTAGCCACATGTGACAACTGAGCACTTGAAATGTGACTAGTCCTCATTGAGATATGTGGTATATGTGAATTACATGCCAAATTTTGATGACTTAATATGAAAAAAGGAATGTAAAGTATCTCATTAAAACTTTATATTGATTTCATGGTGAAATGATATTTTTAATAAATGGGGCTAAATAGGCTATTATTACAAATTAATCTTACCAGCTTATTTATACATTTTTAATGTGACTACTAGAATATTTAAAATTAACCTATGTGACTCACATTCTATTCCATGGACAGAGATGGTATAGAGATTACTTAACTCTTAGTAGTAGTAACAGCAATAATCAAATCTGATTATTTTGTGATATATTGGGTTGTCAGAAAGTCACGATGCATTTTTGCAATGAAAAACAGAAAAAATACATCATGACTTTTTCCGACAACCCAATATATATATATAGGTATATTATATGTACATTCTTAATTAGACTCAGTTTGCTTTTCTTGAAATTTAAATATTAACATTAGTAAGTATTATAATTTTTCAATAACTAACAGTTTATCCTTTGCAGCCAGAAAATAGTGTCAGTGTTAATAAGTGGCCATTCTTATAAATGAGCTGAACAACTGAAGGATATATGGCTTAGAAAATGTAACCCCCACCCCATAGCTTTGCCAATGATTGCATTATTTTTTTATTCTCTCGGTTATTTCACAGAATAAGACCTGGAATAGAGCTGTCTTCTTTTGATTGCTCTCATTTCTAGGATAAAAACCTAAAGGAAAATGTAGCAGAACAAGTATATCCACCTAAGTATCATGGGTCTTTCCTTTTCTGGTTAATTATTAAAACAAGATCAATATATGTACATTTGTAGTCTGGCAAGCTGACCTCCATTTTAGTAAATATCTCCCTCTATTGATTCCACGTTGCCTGAATTCTGTTATAGCTCTGGGGTCAGGGACATCATCTCTCCTTTTGGACAAATATTCCATCAAAATGTTACAAGTCAGCAATCAGTCATTTCTTTAGCAGTATAAATCAATTTACCAGATCACCTTCCTAACTATTTCTAAGGCTTTACTAGCATAAGGAAAATATTAAGAAAATAAGAACTAGAGAATAGGATGGAATTATAATTAAAAATAAAATATCAGGAAGTGATTGCCTGAGTAATTCACTCTAGACGAGAGCAGGAAGGGGCTGAGCACCCAAAAAGAAAGTACAAAGATGGACTGTCATAATTTCTGTCTCCCAGGCAGCAGTTGTATAAAAATAATTATCTTTTTCATTTCTCTATAGATCTGTGAATCCTGTAAATACTTAAATTTGAGTACTTTAAATCAAAAGTGTTTATTTTCTTTAGTAATTGAAAATGCATTACTGCAGGTAGGAAATAATAGCTTCAAAACAGGCTTAACAAAATGAAAGGTAGATTTATGAATCTATAAAATTAAATTTGTATTGAGAAGTATTCATACAAGCAGACAGAATAATCTGAAGCAGCCAAATGAATGAAATATATTTTCCAGGCAGTGTGTTCTGACCAATTGGAAATTAATTTCAGAAGGAAATTGAACAGGTAAATTCTGTGAAGGGTTTATCCATTAATATGGTGTATGTTTTCAATATTACAGCCTACTGATGCAACAAAGGTGGTCTCTCATCCAATTACGGGGGAAATTCAGGTATGAAAGGCTTTGTTGTTGTTTTTTAAATCACCATTATACCATTTTTGTGTTTGTTTGTTTTTTTTTCCCTTGGGCTATTGCAGTTGTAAACACTGTTAAAACCTTTTCTGTTTTATAACACATAGACCTGCCAAGGAAATTTTCGATTTCATAAAATAGTATTTTAATACAAATATATGTTTTATGAAATATAATATCCATGGAATTCTATACTTTGAAATCTGACTAATACCTTATTAGTATCAATATGTTTTATGTCTCAGTTACTTTATACTTGTTGAATGTATTTCAAACAATACAGATTTCCCTTGAAATTTGAAGGTTCCTCTTGAAGAGTTTCATGAGCCTAATGCTATCCTCATTTCTTCCTGTGATAAACAGTTGTTAAATAATTGCTGAACAATTCTTATAGAGCTGTGTTTTTCATACTGGAGGTCATAACCATTTGTAATTTATAAAATCAGTTTAGGGGATTTTGACCAGGAAAATTAAAGAAAAATAGTGCACTCTTTTTCAGCCCTGTGTATGAGTGTTTCTGTGTTTGTGTATTATATTGTAATATGTATTTGTTACTGTGGGTTATAGTAAAAAAAAATATTAGAAAAACTATGCTTTCAATGATACCAAAAAGTAACTTAGGGTCGATAAAAAATTCCACGTAGAAAGAATTAACACAATATAAAATAATAACTATTTGAAGATACTAAGTTTCAGACAAGGGAATGAGAACATTAGTAAGTCTTAGCTGCATCTCCAACACATTCTAGACGAAATTTTGTGAAAGACTTCACAAAGCATGGCAGAGATTGGAACTAATTTGAGGATAAGCATAGAGAAAGAGAAGTGTGTTCCTGCGGGGGGAGGGGGGGGCGGGGGGGGATAGTAGAAAGGAAGGTTCTGCTGCCAAAGAGTAATGAAACGAAGAGATCGCCTTTGCTGCAGTGACACATTCCTATAGAGATAAGTTAAAACTAAATTAAAAGGAGTGTTGAACATAAGCCAAGGAGGAGTTAGCCACTACATAGTAGGGTGATCAGTAAATATTTTGGAGTAAGGAAGAGACTAATTGAAAGAAGTATGTAGCAAAACGTCATACAGCAGTGGCCTACCAGAAATATTATAACAGAGAGGACACACAAAGAAATCGATTATGTTATTATTTAGGCGCACACTAATTAAAGCAAAAGCGAAGTGTGACAGCGAAAAATAAAAAGTGCAGAAGGCAGGCATCTTACTAAGAAGGACCAGCAGGATGGAGCGTGATTACCTAGGTGCTCTCCATTGTGCTGACTCACTGCTAGTTCCTGTTTCTAGAAACCAGACCCTGTTCTTTTTTCATTTCACAAACAGCAAAGAAAATGCTAGCTGTTCTGATTCATAATTCATCTCTCTCTCTCTCTCTCTCTCTCTCTCGTTTGTTTAAAGTTCTTGCCCATGGAACAGTATTTTCTGTGTTTCTTTTTGGTTTGTTGTTCGTTCTTATTTTCTTTTCCCTTGAGTTTTAATATTTTATTGTATAGTGGAAATTTACACTAACAATATTCCTTCTTCACTCTTGGGTTGTTTTATCCTTTTTTTTCGGAAATTTTCTTATGACAGAGATTTCCACTTTTTTGTTTTCTTTTAACAAAACCTTATTCCAAATGAATTCTTATATAGACACCCAAACAAAGAATCTTGCAACACTGGCATAGCTCTGGTTGAGAATTACTGATACATTCTCATTCTCCCTTGGAAGTAACCTCTGAGCCACTCTAAGAGTTCTCCAAGGTTCTACAGAGTGAATTTTGAAAAGCACTATCTTAGGGAAACCTACAAGTTTTCATTTTAATAAGAAATGATTTTGGTGCCTTATCAATTAAAAGTGGACTTTAAGGCTGGCAGAGGAAGGAGAAAATGGAGAAGGATTTATCCTTTAAAATTTGGAAGCTCTTCTAAATCTCAATGAAATTAATTTCAAAATAATTGTATGAGTATATTTCAATATCCCATTGTAGCACACCGCTACTGCAGCTCTAAACTTCCCGTTTCTTCTCTTCCTTCATGGCACTTTGTTTTCTGTTTTACAATGATCAGAGACTCTGAGCTTTTCTATAGTTAGGAAGGCCATTGAAGATTCCTTTTCTGCTGCAAAACATAACCAGATCAAAATTATGCTAAAATTAAGATTTACTTTAATTATGAAATTTTAAATACAGTTTGACTCATCTAAATTATTCCATTTTCAACATAACCATAGCATATCTGTTTTGTATGATTATAAAAATATGCTAGTATTTTTATTTATGGATTTCCCCTTTGAAATACAGATTCCTTTTTCTTATTTGATAAACAAAATGAGCATCAAATAGAATTAAGTCTTATTCTAATGCAAAAGACAGTTTGAAGGAGAAACATTAAATTACTTTGAATTATGCAGGCTCTTCAAATATTTATTAGAAATATGAATCTTTTACTGTTCAATGACAATTTCGCAGCACCCATTAAGCATCCGTGAAGCAATGCCTCTTCTTTTCTCTTCAGCTTCTACAATTAAAAAACAAGTTTTCGTTATGTTAATCTTTCACTCTTGTTAGAAAAGCAGTCAGAACAGAAAGAAAAGCTATAGGCTTAACATCAGATAATGCAATATAGGAAGAGATAAATTTTACACATTCTTAAATATTCTTGCATTTCATTACTGATAGGTTTATCTTTAAATAATGATTCCACCGACTGCTAATTATTTCAGGAAATGCAAAAGATATCTTTAAATAAATTTATCAAGAAGTTCATTTCTTTTCAAAATCCTGATAATTGTATTCATGAATGTTAAACAACATTCACAGTTTTCCTAAGAGTAGGCATTTAGTTTAAAAATATCTATGTACAGCAACTAGGATTCACTGTACCATTTTCCTTCTAAATGAAATTTAGACAGGCCAGGACTTTCACCGAGGGAAGAATGAACAGCACTTTTACTGGTAATTAACATGTGCCTAGGAGCTCCCAATTAAATTAGACATTAACTGGTCTGTGCAGTTTCAAGTAAAATGGAGATGAGGTTTAATACTTCTTATGAGAACTAAAACTACATATATATATATATATATATATNNNNATATATATATATATATATATATATATATATATATATATATATATATATGTAAACTAGTAAAATATTGAATGATAATGTATTATATGTTTTTTTAAAACAAACGAACAGAAAATAATATTCACCAAATATGTTGCTGTTCCCTTTAAGCTTCAAATCAACTATGATCTTGGCAATCTCATAATACATATTCTCCAAGCAAGAAACCTAGTCCCTCGAGACAACAATGGTTATTCTGACCCCTTTGTTAAAGTATATCTTCTTCCTGGGCGAGGGTAAGTATCGAAACAATGTCTTCTAAGTACTGTATCTCCTGAAATAGTCATAGAGTCTTTTAGTCTCTACTTTCAGTGTTTAACATATTTTCCCTAGGTTTACCCACATTCCGTATTCATTTATTTATAATATTAGATAAGGTGGAATTAAAATTTGTAATTAAGATTCAAAAGGTTGTAGGAGAGCTAGTGATCATAATAAAACCTGTTTATATGAGAACACATCAGTATTTCAGTTCTGAAAACAACTCTTGCTATGTCCAGATTGACTGTGAAACCATTTAATAAATTATTTTGGGGAGATTTAAAGAATTCGCTTACATTCCCAAGTTGATTTGCAAAGCCAATGTTTAAAGACTCATAAGTTTCTATTTTATTTTATAGGCATGGATATTAATCAATATGTTAAATGCTCATTAAGTGACTTGTTGATCTGCCCTTCTTTATATGCATATTTGAAATCAACATTTTAAAACTATAAAATTAAAAAAAAACAAGAGTAGTATTTAAAATGCTGACTTTAATAAGTAAATGAAAATTATCTCTGTAATCGCTTGTGTGATATGTAAACTTCATATGAAGCAAGTGCCCTTTGGAGATATTTAATTTTCACATAATAAATGCAAATTACTATGATGTTCTAATATATACATCAGTAATCAGGATAGTTTTAACAGTGATTTGGACCCAACAGATCATTATACCTTTTCTGGACAATTTATGTTAGCCAGATTAGCATAATGGAACCATAAATAGTTGGAGGTATAATTTTAAATGTTTGGACTGGTAATTTGAAGACACTGGTTTTATTTTTGTTCATTTTTTATTTAATTTGAGGAGTGACATTTAAATAGTACTTTTTACTTGGAAATTTCCAATTGTATATAAGTAGAAAAAATAGTATAAAGACCCACCATGTATCCATTCCTCAGCTTCAACAATTATCACTTCCTAGCCAATCATGTTTTATTTTACCCTCATATGCTCTCCCCATACAGATTATTTTAAATTAGCTCTCAACTATTGTACCTTTTTTCTGCAAATATTTTAGTATATATTGCTAAAAGATAACTCATTTCAAAAGTAATCATCATAGCACATAACCACAATAATTTTTAAATTCTTAAGTAATGCTTTAATTTCCCCAATTGCCTCATAATATTTTCCTAGTTGGCCTGATGACCTAATTGATATTTGCAGAACATTCTATCCATCGATAGCAGAATACATATTCTTTTCGAGTGTACATGGAACATTCACCACGATAAACTGTATTCTGGGCCATAAAACAAACCTCAACATATTTGAAAGCATTGAAATTATACAAAATCATGTTATATGCCTGTAGTTTGTTTGTTTGAACAGGATCCAAATTAGAGTTATACCTTGCATCTGAATCTGTTATTTACTAATTATACCACCACGGGCAGATCACCAATTCTTTGAGATTTAGTTTTCTTGTTGATTTTGAAAGAGCCAAGGTAGAGCCATAATTTTTAGTTTGTCAAGGGAATCAAATTAGATAATAATTTGAAAAATGCCAGGTGCTATGTCAAATTTAGTATACAGCCTTTAATTTTACACTACCCGATAATTTTATTTAGAAACCTCGAATTGCTGGTATTGTTCTAGGTTGAATTCGTTGATTTAATTTATAGTGATCACCAAACAGCCATACAGTGCAGGAAAAGGGAGTTTTTATTTTATGTTAATTAACTTATATTTTTATGTAGTAATTGTACCTGTAATTTGGCTGCATGTTTTAAACATGGGTATAATAACAAACTGATAACTACATTCTGTCTTTGATTTGGGTCATTAGACCTTCAATATTATTTAATCACAATATAATGGGATAAGAGGAAATCACCAAAGGCTGTGTCTCTAATTAACATTTACTAATGAGCGAAACTACAGCACTGTCTTTTATTTTCTATCATCTCCAATAACATCCTGGAGTATCATCTTTTAAACTATATGAGAGTGCCTATATTTTATTTATTGCAGGACTGTGTTTCAATTAGACTGTTGCAAACTTGAATAGCCAGAAAGGGCTGGCAGGTAACATGAATATGTCAGTCCATTCTGGGAAAGAAGTAACAGAGAAAAGGAGGAATGAAGAGGGGGTGTCCCATCTAAAGCCATCCTAATGCAACTTTTAAAACAATATTCTGCTTGGTGGGATCTGGCCCAAAGGTGGCTTATACGCTACTCCAGTTCCTAGCCGTTTTATTAAATGTCTCCGAATTACCACAGTGGCCAAGGCCTTGGGTTTTATTACACTTGTGAGGTATTATTTTCATTTTAATTCTAAGATTATTGTCCCCCTTATGTCACTTATATGATGTGGTATATCTCTTCTAGTTATTATTCTCATATTATCTTCCTTATTTCTGTTCCTAACTTTTTTCTTCCTATCTTTCCTCCTTTTCTGTTGTATCCTTCACTCTCTCTCTCTCGGAATCAATGCAGTCAAGTCATGGTTGTCCAGAATGCAAGGTAGAGTGGGTTCTCTTTCAATGTCAAGCTATGCTGTAATGTCTGGAGTTTTATATATGCCTTTATGCCTTTTTGTCTACATTCTCCTGCAGTTCAACTTGGGCTGTAATTTTTATTTTTCTACATGTTGCATCTATTGAATTAAGCTAACAGCAAATGGTTCCAACCACAATGTTATTAAATAGGTTTAGCAGATGTGTGCAATAGAACCTAGGAAACTAGAAAATATTAAAAACATAGAAGAGTATTAAATAAGGAAATGTCACTCTGAAATTAGATATGACTGAAGTCTTCATTCATAATTTGTACACTAAAATTCACTTAGCTTCTCATGTGATAATTAATCATGCCTTAAGATTTCCTGAATCTTATATTACAAATAAAATCTAGTCATTTTCCAAAAGAAATGAACTGATCTGGATGTCTTAAAGACAATAGGTGACTGGTCTTCATCCTTCACTTAGACCTTGATATTGAAATGCCTTTTTACATTTTGCACCACAGAGTTATTGCTGTGCCATATAGGAGGCCATAATCGCTCTGTACTAACAGCAACATGAGAGCGTCCTTTGTTGCCCAATAATGGGAAACTATTTTCTGTATTTGATAGAGTTCATAACATGTTGCATCATTGCATTGTCAGCTAAGGCTATCTCTCAGTATATAGCCAAAAGCTTTCTTTTGCACATCTCATTGCATTATAACTTCAATGTGTTATTTACTTGGTGAGGAGAATCTTGTACCATCTGTACCAATAAGGTGATGAGAATTTTAATCCCATCCAGAATATTAATGATTCAGGATTTTTTTCTGTCGGTGACATTCAAATTGGATGTTTTTTTACTAAACCTGACAAGATGTGCCGAAAGAGGCTTTCTCTGACTTTTAAAGGCATAAATATTTAAATATTTTAAAAGATACGATTACTCACCACAACCTTTATAGTGCCCAGAAACTGTTTGTTTTGTTGCAGTCCATAATTACGGTAAAGAATGAAATACAATACTGTGTGAGAGGTGGCTTGTTATGCCTGTCCCTCTTGTCTCAGGATGCCATCCAGATCTCTCAAACCGACATGTGACATATTCAAAGACATGGTGTCATTTTAGAACAGACATTATCAACCGCTTTATTCAGAACCTTCCTATTTTTTATCTAGAGAAACAGGGGACATTGTCAGAATGACAGTTGTTTTCTGTATTTAACTTCAAAGAGAACATGTTTTGCAAGTGTAAAGAATGGCTGAAATAGTCCAGGTTGTGTTGGATTACAATTTAGAAGATCCAGAAATCACTTTCTCGTATCTTTCATCTAGTAGTCACTTTTATCATCTCTTTGAGAACTGTCAGTGTGAGAAGGAATTCTAATGACAAGATACTGATGTTGTAAGTTAGGCTGAGAAGGCCAATGAGTGAAGTCCTTAAGAACATGGGTTTCAGTAGCAGCCCTGCCAAGCAGAAGTTGTGAGGTTTCTCTAGGTCCTCTTCTGCTACATGGGATTTATAATAGACCCTCTCCCCCCAGGCTTTTGGGGAAACACATGGAGTAATACACCAAAAGTGATAAGCATTATATCCAGCACATAATAAGCTCTCAATAAATGACAGCCGCTATTATTGCTAGTAACATGGTATAACAAGCTTCGTGTAGCAAACAGTCAGCTATCTCTCCAAAAAAGAGATACAGAATGCTTGGGCTACTGAATTATACCAAATCCTTTAACAACACTATGTTGAAAACCCAACAACTTTTTTTTTACTCAATAAAATGTAATACATTCATCGTTCTTAAAATTAAAATATATATATATTGTGTTAAATAATTAGCACTTCACTGATCCAGTTTTCTTACCTTCTTTCATTTTCTCTTCCCATCTTCTGAGCAATACTCATAAACTCTGACAGCCCAAACATCAGCCAAGATTAGGCGAAATAAATGCAAGGAAAGAGCCTGAAGAGTCCATGAACTCAGTTCTTGTTGGATAATCGAGAAAAAGAAATGAGGATATCTGAAGGATCTCATTCTGGTTTTCTCTCATTACGCAGTTGGGCGAACTACATTTTTTTCCCCATTAATGAGATTTTGCTATGATTGAACCTGATTTTAGCTGTCATGATACCTGTTAGCCCAATTCCTGGTTGAACTTTCTCCAACACCCTTGTTAGCATAAACAATTTCATACGTGATCTATGTAAAGCACAGGTGTTCTGTGTATTTACAATTTGAAAGCCCAAAATATTTAATTGCAATAAATTTTAAAGAAAAAAAAAGTACAGGGATGTTTTAAGTATCCATCCAATATATTTATTTAGCACATGCTACTCCAGACACTCTCATAGGTGCTGGGGTTAGAGCTGACCGCACAGCCATTGTCTTTGACCTCAGGGAGCACAGAGGACAATAAGGTGACAGTCCTTAAACACATTATTGCACAGAAAAACAGAGCTTATAAAATGAGATGTGCTTTGTGCTTCTTTCTAAATTAAAGGAAACATCATCAGAGGAATAATTTTGGAAAGCATATATATATATTTTGTTGTTGTTGTTGTTGTTGTTGTTGTTGTTTGTTGTTGTTGCACATATTTTTTTCATTAAAGGAATACATATATATTTCCAATAAAGGAAAACCAAATAAAATAAAATAAATGAAGAACTTCAATACATTCCATTCTTCTTTCTCAATATTTCTTTTGAAATTAAAAAGAAACACAGAGCAGTGTTTTTCAGCTGGTTTAAGATACAAAAATTGTTTTTAGGTATCTTTTTCTGTCTGCCTTAAAAGTATGGCTGCTTTTACTGGCCAATAACAAAACAAGCAAACAAACAAAAATAAGAAATTAGTCAAAACTTCACAGGGATGAGGGTTTAAATATGTGTTTTATAAGCACTATATCCCATCTTGATTAATTGACCCTATTTTCCCTTACTAGAAAACTTCTCTGATTGTTAGATATGGCCCAATTGTACTAATATAACAACATTATTCTAATCTACCCAGGAGGGAATGTAGTGTGTTTACCAGACAAGGAAGAAAAAATAAAATGAGCTCCATTTTTTTCTCAAGCTGAAGTTATGCCCACATTCAAAAATCCCACTGCTTGCCTGGCCACGTTCAATTTGTAAATCCTCAGATTCTAATATGGCTATGAAAATTGCAGAGTTTTCAATTGTGTAAAGTGACAACACAGCCCATTGGGATCATGCTGGAGATGGTCAGTACAGAGTAATTATAAAAAAACAAGTGTTACTGAAGGAATGGCTTTGTGTGGCCAGCTCTGCATGTCAGGAAATTCGAGACTGCAAAGAATTTCATTGGCATTTACACAGGTCAACCCAGGATGATGGAGATGGGCTCAGGAATAGCGTGTGTTTACCTCCATTAATCCTCAAGGCAATGGATACCTGAGTCTGGAGAGAAATGCAGAATCAAACTCATTAATAAGATTAAGATACTCTATTAAAAGAAACATCTACAATGTTCCCAAACAATTTCAATTATTTCTGAGTGTATCTGGGCAAAAATCAATAAATAATTATCCCTAATTCCACAACACTCTCTTAGAATATACCATTCAGAATGTTCCTAAGCAACTCTAAGACTGACCTAATGTTTGAATGGTATGTGTATATGTGCACAAGTATTTTGTGTAATTTATATATAGAAATAAATCTATTTAAATAGGAAATATTTATATAGTTATATTGAGGTGAAGAACTTTAAAACTAAAGAACTGTAGGATTAAGAAAACAAACTAGACACCAGCTAATGAAGCCTGCAATTAAGAAAAGTGATGGATTCACATTTTATGATGAGCCTAATCAATTTAGTTCAAACAGCATATGTTTAAGAGCAACCAACCAGTTTCCCTATGTTTGAATTGTGGTCCTACCAGTTCATAACTATGCAATTTTGCCAACATGTCTTAATTCCTCTGAGCTACAGTTTTTTGTTATAATTTTTGTGTTTTTTTAACTTAAAATAGAATAAAAAATGATACCTGTCTAATGGAATTGCTGTTAGGATTAAAGGAGTTAACAGATTAAAAACATTTAGATCTCTACCTGGGAAAAAGCAAGCATTTAATAAATGTTAGCTGTTTTTTAGCTTTCTTACTTTATAAAGTGCTTTTCATGCATGAATCATACATATAATACTATGTCAATACAATTAAGTACATTTGATAGAGAAGAATAGTGCCTGGTACAAAGTTGGCATTCAATAATTTTTGCTAAATGTGTTAGTCAAAAATATGACTAAAATATGCATGTGAAAAATTATGTTACTAAGTATATTGTAGATTAAGGAAAGATGGTAATTAAATCCTTTTGAAGACATTTCAATAATGCAGACTATTTTCATATATATTGACATATCTAGAATTTTAGTGAAAATACATGAGTTTGCATTTGACATTAATTTCCATCTTGTTAAAAATATTATGCCTTTAACTTTTGAGAATCTGAAAAAAATAACAATTTTACTACTATTCAGTATATTATGAATTTTATCCTTAATATGTTATTTCCACGATCTCATTGCCTTGAGAACAAAGTCTAAAGCAAATGGAAACTTTAAAGCTCATACTACCTTGTGTTTTTCTTCTAAATATACCTGCCTAGAGGAATAGCCATGAATTCTAAAGTAACAAGCAAAGCAAAAACATAAAATATAAAATATATAGTTTACCAAAATAATTTTGAATTTTTATTATAAAATACTTCAAACTTACTTAGAATTTAATGGGTTGTCAGAAAAGTCATGTCACATTTTTGCAATGAAAAATATAGAAAAAATACGTCATGACTTTTCCGACAACCCAATAGAAAATACTTTAATACCTGTGTTGTTGCTACCCAGGTTTATCAAATCTTAACATTTTGTTACATACACTTCAGATTTTTTTAATAAAAAACATTTTACAGGTAACCCTAAAGCCCTTTGAAACCATACCCCTGAGATAATCGCTAAATAGAATTTAATAGCTATAATCCCCAAGAGACTTATGATATTAATATGTTTGTTGTACATGTATACATAAATAATTTACAGTACCAAGTCACATGATTTTAACTTCAAATTATGATAACTGACTATAAATATCCTGCAAATTTTTTCCTCAATAATTTTTCAAGATTTTTGTATCTTAATATATGAAGGTATGTTTTATCACTTTAACTGCTGCTTGCTATTTCATTAGATGACTATATTAAAAGGTATTTATTCATTATCTTATTAACGTACTATTTGAAACAATGTTGCAGTAAATGTTCTTGAACAAGTTTTTTGTGCACAGGTGGGAGAATATCTTTAAGGTAGAAGTGGAGTAAGTCAAAGTGGAATTTTCTGGGTTCTTGGATATATAAATTTAAACTTCACTAGATACTGACAAATGATCTAAAAAGTATGTGTACAAATTTTACTTCCTGTTCCTTTATATCATTGCATATATATTTCCCCTAAATTTTTGCAATTTACCTTGAATGACAAAACTGTCAAATCCTGCTCTTATTGTTGTGTATCCATCTGTGTTGACTAGAAGTGAGAGGAGTCCTGCTTTATTTCTTAAATTGGATTCAATTCACAGTAACTGAAAGATGAGGTCTTAGGAGACATACATTTAGTGGTTCTCAATCTTGTCTACACAGATTTACCTAAGAGATTTTAAAAATCCTGATGCTCAAGCCTTACCCCAGACCTATTAAATCAAAATCTCCTTGGGCGTGCAGGCTGGGAGATGTGGTACTGGTTGCTCCACCTCCCACCCTGGAACTCAGATTACTGGGTGGTCCCCAAAATACTGTCAATGTTGGGAATTACTAGCTTGTATATGGCTTGATAAGAGAGAGACTAAAGCCCGAGAGAAAAGAAAGATACTTACTTGGCTATAGATCCATCTCTAAAAGTGGGTGATGAACTGGAGTGTGATTCTCAGTAGCTTTATCTAGAACGGATAGGTACATCAGTGTCTGGGGAATAGCACTAGGCATTCCAGGATGCAACTATGCTTGAGACCAGGAATGAAGCAAGAGATGGTCTGTCCATAGTGGGGAGTAGAACTTGAGGTCAAGGGTCAGGATTTAGTCCCTTTGGAGCAGGGGTCGGCAAACTTTTGGGATGGAAGAGCCGCCAGGGGTCAGCAAACTGCGGCTTACGAGCGTGTGGCTCTGAAGTAAAATTGAAAATGAAAATAAAACTATCCTAGTTTCATTTATAAAACCCTTAAAGGATATTATTCACATAATGATGATTATGTAAAAATATATTTATGGCTCTCGAATAATTTTTAAATTGTTGTGAGGGACAGGATTGGCTCTTCCAGGGGTCAGCAAACTTTTGAGACGGAACGTACCCAAAGAGCCGCATGTGGCTCGGGAGCCGCAATTTGCCAACCTCTGCTTTAGAGAAAGGCAACTTGTGAAATCCATGCATATGAAAGGACCCCAGACACCACGTAGGTTGGTTTTCAGGGTTCTGGTGCCAACCAGAATTAGTGTTACCTAGGACCTGAGACATAAACCTAAGCAGAAAGTTCAGAAAAAGGCAGTGAGAGAGAGACCTTGTCTGTGTGGACACCACTGGCTCATCACTGATAGCAGTTCCAACCCCATTAGCTGATTGAGCCAGTTACAGATGTTCTGTCTGATTCAATTAGAATCAGTTTTGGAAATAAGTTGTTTTTAAACATGTAGGTTGTAAGCTTGTAACTGTTGCTCAGAGGGAATGAAAAGGTCGAGGATAAACTCAAATGCCCTAAGCCTTAATGAATGAGGAAAATTTTTTATTTGGTTCATCATTTGTAACATAAGCTATTGACATAAACCAATAATTTATACTTAATAAAAATTGTTTTATAACTAGATTAAATATCCTATTTTACTAAGCTTGTCAGAGTATACTTGAAATATACAGTAAAAAATGTTCATCGAATCTCAGCTATAGCAACAGCCATTTTCAGCCTTACCTCAGTCAAAACATTTATTACAATTTTTTTAGAAAAGAGCGATTTAAAAGATGATTAGGCCTTTCTGACATGATTAGATGCAAAACTATTAGAAAATTAAATTCCAAATTATTATTTATGGGGCAAGAAATACTGATGTTACCATATACTTCATGTAATTACCTCCTGAATTCAGGAAGGAGTACATTTCTAAATTTATACTATCATTGCAATACATAAAAGCTGTTCTTCACAAAACTACTTTAGGGCAAATAAAACTAAAGGCATCCAACATATTTTTTTAATTTTCATTATGCATTCAACTTAAAATAAGGTTTAAGACATGAGGATGATGAGATGATTGCATAGTGACTCAAAACAAAATATCCTCTTAAAATGCCTGCACGCCCTTCAGATTGACTATGAAGTCATCAGTGAAGGTGAGGAATGAAGATAACTGTTTCTTTTCTTCCACTTCAGTGCTGAGTACAAGAGAAGGACTAAATATGTTCAGAAAAGCCTTAATCCTGAGTGGAATCAAACAGTAATTTATAAAAGTATCTCCATGGAACAGGTATGCAATTATTATTTTCTGTGTGACAATTTTAGGCTAATATAAGAATAGTAATGATAAAATTCTTGAAAGATTGTGATCTTGAATTCAGAGAGAAAAGAACACAAATCGAAAAGGAAGAAGATGCCCATATGAAACAATTTACGAATGAGTTGTCTTTGGAAATGAGGTTTATAATTTGCCCTCTGGAAGATTTCTAATTTGACTTTGAAGATGAAGCTGGATTTAAATTGTAGTACGGGTTCTTGAATTGAAAATAAATGAAATCTACCTGCAGAAATAAGATGTTGCTACTGTGTATTTTAGCAATTTACTGACCCAAACAAATCTAATCCAAATCCTTGGTCTAAATAACCTAGACAGTTTTACAACCTATGAATTGCATCTGTTTAAAAAGTATTTATTGATGCTGATTTCTGTTTCCAAAGATGGGGGTAGAATAACAGGAAATTCATAAAATTACTATCTTGTTTACAAAACAGTGAGGTTTCTTATGATCAAACGCTAGGCTGGACTACAAAACCATAATATTTTATATAATATTTAATATAAACCCAGATAGTTTTAGATAAAAGTTAAAGTATTTTTACATAAATGGGAGGTGTTCAAGGAAGTAAAAATAAATGGATCTATAATATATGTGTGTAATGGAAATTGATGATAATGGGGTGAATGACATTTTGATTTGAACTACAGCTCAAGAAGAAAACACTGGAGGTGACAGTCTGGGATTATGATAGATTTTCTTCCAATGACTTTCTTGGTGAGGTGAGCCTCTGAGTTCCTTTGCCTTGTTTTCTTTTGTTGTAGACCACCAATTAAAGCTTGATGCAAAGCATATTTCTTCAGTTTATAAGATAACCACTTCTGGATAAAGTCCTTTGGTAGATAAAATTTATTTTCTGATTTACTCTTTGAGTAGATGAATACCAACTCAAGAAATGGTTTTCACTTTGTCACTTGATGTACTTTATTACTAATTATCAAGATGAAATATTAATTGTTTAGGTAGAAAGATATATAATGATGCTGTGAATCCAAATCATTATGTTAAGTGTTTGAGATAAATTTATTATGTTATAAAATAAACTGGAATTTTTTAAATGCATTTTCAGGTTATTTAATTGCTATTCCTTACCATATGTATGAATGACATGATATGACATTTTATATTCTTATTTCTTTCAAGTGCCTCATAAGAAAAAATCTCTCAAAATATTTTAAGAAGCAAAACTGGAAGTAGGAGAAAAAAATTGTATAAATTCACAAGGAATCTAACCTAGGCATGAAATCTGATAGATCCTGTGACTTTTAATTTATCACATTTCCAAAAAAATACATTTTGTTTAGTGATCTTTGCTTTGAACATAATTTATAAACTAACGTTAAAAAAATAAATCATTTCCAAGATGATATAACACCTAGAAAATACGATAGCTATCCTATTGAGAGAGACAATAGAAAACATTTGTGTCGTCTTAGAGGCCTTGTTTGGTTCCTAGACTGTACCTCTCTTTCCCATCAAACTAGACCATTTGGGCTTCACCTGTAGGCTCCATGCTGGTACAGCCACTTGGACCAATCTTCATCTTAGACAGACTGCTCTAGGATGTAGTGTTATATCTGCTGTAATGTCCCATTTCAAAAAGCTGGCTTATTGAAGTCCTTATAATTTATTATATTTACATGAATTTAGATCATATCTCCATTGTGCTGGTTTTCATTTTTTTTATATCTCATCAAATTTAAGATGCCAACAATTGTAAAATGCACCATTATTAATGAAAGAAAAATGTTCCCAATTGAACCAAGACACGATAAACTGTTAGCATATCCCTATTTCAAATGTGAACTAAAGTATGTTTTAAAGTAGAGGAAATAAGTTAGTAACTGTAAATTATTCATTCTTTTTTAATTCCATCCCTCTTGTAGCTAAAATCAAACAATCTTCAAAAATGCTAGCCACATTTAGAACTAGAATGTATCCATTTAACAAAGCTTTATTTCATAAAGAGATTGAATTTTGACTCTACCTTTTCACTTTATGTCCAAAAAAATTAATTGTCAAAGATTTTATACAGTTCAATTTATCCAATCATTTATTAAGCATCTAGTATGCCTAAGTTGTTGTTCCCAATATCATGGGTGAAGGAAAATGAGGAAGAAAGCCTCATCATCCTTAAAGGTTATAGTATATCCTCGGGCTTATGTCCTTGAATAAATTTCAGATCACAGGAAAAAGTAACTGCTAATTGTACTTTTTTTCAGGTATTGATTGATTTATCTAGCACATCTCACCTCGATAACACTCCTAGGTGGTATCCTCTCAAAGAACAGACTGAAAGCATTGATCATGGCAAGTCCCATTCCAGTCAAAGCAGCCAGCAGTCTCCAAAGCCATCTGTCATCAAAAGCAGAAGCCATGGTATCTTCCCTGACCCATCCAAGGGTAGGAGACATTTCAAGTAGAAAACGCTTCTATTTTTTCCTTCAATACCTTCTTGAATATGAATGTCTGTATACTTAATATATTTTGAAAGGTTGGATTCTATTGGAAAGTATTTAATATACTATCCTGTGAAGAGTAATGGATATGGAATCAGGAGAAATGGGATTTAGCCTCAGATCAGCCCATAATCGGGTTATAACTTTGATCTTCACCTCTCTGACTCTTCAATTTTCAACCTGTATAATGAAGGCAGTTGGGCTATATTAGCTATTGGTTCTTTTCAAGCTCTCAAATTCATGATAATATGATTTTATAAGATGAATTGGGGTATTACATAAAGAAATATAAAAATCCTCAACTTCATAGACTAGACATAACCATCATTACCATTTATACATATTTCTTTTGATTGTTTAAATCCTTATTTTTATAGGTATATTCTTACTCATATATTACATACAACATATATAATTTTGCATCCTGCTTTTTACTTATCATGTCAAAACATTTTTCCCATGTTATCAAAATAATTGGTATGCTGAAATATACTTACACCTTTCCTAAATGTTGGACTCAAGCTAATTCTATGATTTTTTTAAGTGAGTAATATTATTTTTAAAGTACAAATGTCATACATTGGGCTTGGTAATATACACAAGATTCCCATTTGAATGAACTTTTTCTTTTGGAGGTTTGTTACTAATCATCCTGCAACACAACATTAATGCATCATGAGTTACTGCCCACATGAGATAACCATGTAGTATCTTATCTAGGTATAGTGAACTATTTACAAGTATTAAATACAATTTTTTTTATATTTGACCAAAGTATTGCTGCCTTCTCTCCTCCTCTCAGAAAGTACAGCAACTTCAAAAGTGACTCTTTGCAAATTAGAAAGCAATGGGTCATAAGGGCAAGTGTTCTAGTAGATGGAAAACTGAGGCCATGTCCAGTAGACCACTGAATTGATATGATCAACCACTGACTACAGTGAGTGCTATAGATTGCTTATGGATGAGTTTTATAGATAATTTATGAATTCCACTTAGCATATCAACTCTGCCCTGGTTAACATTCTGGGAGATTATTAATATAAAGACCTCTCTCTCTATGACTACCACAGTTAATGTGTGAGATGATAGATAGATAGATAGATAGATAGATAGATAGATAGATAGATAGATAGGCAGACAGACATTCTCAAAATCAGCTGAAACAATGATTCTACAATCTCCACTTCTAATGTGTCCTAGCAACACTCACACCTTCACTCAGGAATTCACTACATTTTTACTTAAAACTCCACCTTTGGCAGTGTAAACCTATTGTCTTTTATTATACATGATGCCTTCTGGAATTAGCAGAGTTGCTTGGTGAAACTATAATATATTCATTCACATGAGGTTAGTTAGAATGTATTCCTCTTCTCAAACTTATCTCTTCTCAAGATTATTATCCATTTGCCTTTCCTCCCAAAAATCATTTCCCAAATGTTTAGTCATATTACTATATGGTGAACAGTTGCATAAATGAGCCAAAAAAGAAACAGATGAACATAAATCTTAGACAGTTTCCAATTAAGTGAGACCAAGCTTGACAGGAGGAATGCTTGGGCAACTTTTACTCATGTTTTACCCTTTTCTAACCAGACATGCAGGTTCCCACCATTGAGAAATCCCATAGTAGTCCTGGTAGCTCGAAATCCTCATCCGAAGGCCATCTCCGCTCTCACGGACCATCTCGCAGTCAAAGCAAAACCAGCGTCACTCAGACCCACTTGGAAGACGCAGGGGCTGCTATAGCTGCTGCTGAAGCTGCCGTTCAACAACTCCGCCTTCAACCAAGTAAAAGACGCAAATAAATTCCTCAGCATGGCAGCTTAATGTTCATCTGTTGCCTTTCTTTCCTGCTGTCCTTTCCTGTTTGCTTTCTGTTCTTGGCACACCGTGTTCACTCTGTCCTCTGTCCCTTTGTCTGTGTAAGAACAGTATTGACACATAAATATGCTCTCTTATTTAGATTTTTTTTTTCTTTACATAGACTGCAGTAAAACTGGCTGTTTCTCCTTTGTCTCCACCATCCATCTAACCTGGCTCATAGTATTTGGTAGCTGTGTCTGTGATGTTTGCAGACAAACGATGTTGTGTGTCCTTTTTGTGTGCGCTTAAATATCCTTTAGAATACGGCAATCATAAGCTCGAGCAGCTGCCAAAATTCTAGGCATTACACCAAAAATGCACACACACAAGCATTTAGAGCAGATTAGCCATGAGATGCTTATGCCTGGAAACACTCAAAAATGTTAGGCAGAGGAGTGATGTGACCAACAGCCACGTTCTAGAACGTAGGGGGAAAGGCCATTTCAAGCTTAAAAAACATTAGTGGATGATGCATGTGAAATGTTGTAGCTTTCCATGTGGGAAACTCTGTAGTCTTTTGAAAAAAAAAAAAAACCTGTGAAGAAAATCACATTTCTTATATTCTCAAGAAATCTATACTATTAATATATATAAGCATAAGTGATGAGGCAATATAACCTCATTAAAGAGCACAATCAAACCTGTTCTGTTGAGTCATACTCTGTACATGATATTGGAGATTTTATAGGTTATTTTCTAACTAGTGAAAGTCCTTTGAAACTCAAGATATCAATTAAAGCCTAACAATTTACCCATCTTAACTTCTGTATTTTCATTGAATTTGTAAAAATCTAGTTAATTGACATATAAAAACTTAGGGACAGAGATTTGACAAATGTAGGTGCACTGTTACTTCACAGAGGCATTAACCAGACCGTGAAGAAAGGTTAATGACAACCCCCTCTCCCCAAGTCATCATTTCCAAAGAAACAGCCAGTTTTAACCCCCTTTAGTGCTGTGCATGTGGTGTCATTTTGGCATTTGAGAACACAACTTATTTAACTAGAGCAAAAGATCACTTCTGTTTGCATGACTAACATTGAAGCCGGTTCCATCTGAGGATACGTACTCTGGGTTTCCATTTCACCCACACTGCCACAGCAGCACATAAAAGCGGTCAGTCTAATCATGCCAGGAAGCAGCACAGACACAGCATAGCAGGAGTCCTCCCCATTCAAAGAACTCAGTCTGATAATCTGCCTCCACCAGCCAATGGCAACCAAGACCAAAGCCAGCTAGCCCTCAGGAAGGTGATGTCTGATGGACCAGTCAAGCCAGAAGGAGGTGAGCAGAAAGGCGCTATGCAAAGCACACAGCAAGAACATGCCCCCAATTTAAACCCCTCATCTTTTCATTTTTAGAGATTGTCTGATAAAGTATGTTTATCTACTTTTTAATGTGCTTTTGTGGCCATGGCATTTCAGGACGTCTTCATCACCGTGTAAGTCCCAAGATCAGCCCATAATATATTGACTACAGTGATTTGTATTTTTCTATGCACTGGGCATCTTTTGACTTTTGTTGGGAAATAGATTAACAGTATTCATATTGCAGAATGGAATGCATGCTACTAACCTAATCTGTTTACGCATGACTATACATATGTTGCATTGTGATAAAACTTTAAACTGCTCACAGTTCAAGTTAGCATACCAGTTGATATGTAGATCAGTTTTTGTTGCATATCATTTCAAGTGTAACTTTTTAAAAAATTCAGTGGATTTTGGAAATTCTTAGAGGAAAGTAAAGGAAAAATTGTTAATGTACTCAGCCACCTTTACATGGTGAAAGTTCTCTCTTGATCGTACAAACAGACATTTTCCACTCATGTTTCCGTAGTTGTTAAGTGTATCAGCTGTGTTGGGCATGTGAATATCCAAGTGCCTGTGTAATAAATAAAGTATCTTTATTTCATTCATAAACTACTGGGTTCTGAGCCATTGTTATATGATGCAGCTTAAAACGAGTGTGTCAGTTTTTGCTTTCTCATTTGATTCCTTACAATATAGCATTTATAGTTAACTGCTCCATTGTTAGTGAGAGCTGTAATGATAGAGCATTTAGGAGCAGACCAAAGTTTCATGTCAAAAACATTATAATATAGATGGAAAATTATTACCAAATAAAAGTACCAGAGCTTACATAAACATGTAAATAAATAATGGGGTTGGGCTACTCTTAGGCAATGCTTCCACTATTTCTTTCTCCCACATCTCATCTACTTTATAATCTTCTCAGGTTCCTGGAGAGAGGAAGACAAATTCTATGAGCCCTCTAAACTTGATCATAGCTGTGTCCAGAAAAGAAAGCAAGTTTATACCTGACCCTAACTTGACCCCAACATTTGTGGAGTTTTTCCAAAGGAAGAATGCCACTGCCAGTGACAGGAATTTTACCCTGATGATCATAAAATTATATTCAAATTTAATTCAAATATATATATAAAGTTTAAAAAAAATAGGATAGCAATGTGTGCCCCCTTAAGTCTCTTCCAGCCCTAAAATACTTGATTTTAGGAGTCTGTACCTTCCACAAAATTAAAATCAAACCTTATACTTCACTATTGAATTTCTCTTTATTCTCAGGAAATTAAACAATTTAATACACTCTTGTTTCAATTAATCAGATATTTAGGGGCTATGGAAGATACATGTGACTGTACTGAGGGCAAACCACTGTGATGTTTCTCGAATTAGCTGGGTAATTAAGGAAATAATTAGCTTTAACATTAGGACAGTTCTGAATGTGCCCAGTTTACAGATTATCGCCAATGTACTAAGTCCCTTTTCTAGTTAGCCTTACTAGTATTTTCCAAAAGTACTTAGAATTCTGCCTCTCACCTTTTCTTCAATCAAATAGGTTTGATTTCTTAATGTTGTTCCTTTTCTTACCTCAAATATTCCATAATTATAAAAGTCACAGTAGTGAAGACCTTCCTTTATTTCACATTCTATGTTTATTATCTTGATTTAAGTATTCTATGCAATATTTTGTCTAATTGTTTTTCTAGATGAGGTTGCTAAAATTTGTAGCAAAATGTTTTTAATCCCCTTTGAATATTGCTTCAATGGATATTCTCATACATTTAAAGTGCTATGAGTGAATCTTGAAATCATTCTTTATTGAAATTACAATCAAAAGGAAATCAAGATACCATAGAATGCCTTCTTGATTAGTTGTATTCTAATAGATAAAAAAGAAAATGCCCTGTTTTCTAAACTATAAATATAGTATTTCTCTGCTGCTGTCAATGTACCATGAATATCATTCAACCATGCATTTTGCCAAACAACTAATGGCAAACATATTATAAAATTAAATGTATATAAAATGCCATATAATTAGTTCAAAGCTTAGAGAGAAAAAAAGTGGTAAGAGATGTAAACATATAAAGAGCCAGCAAGTTCCTGTTCACTAACTGAAGAAATAAGTATTAATTTTAAGGGGTTAGATAAAAGTCTCCCATTTCAAATCTCACAGTGGAGTTCATATATCCCCATCTGCATTCTGAAAATAATGCCCTGCACTGGAATAACTATTCACATCGTACGAAGTGTTTTGTCACCCATTTTCTCATTTTATCACACCTGGTAGGTGAGGTATGCATTGCAGATATTCTTATCCCTGTTTCCTGAGTAAGCAATCAGGGAGTCAGAGGGTTGGGATGACTAATAGAACACACAGCTAGAAATTTTTAGAATCAGCAGTATAACGCATGTCCTGTTACAAGGCCTAAGCCTTTGCTTTTTAAATACCTTGGCTCCTTTGAAATCACACTCTCCCAATTTCAATAAAAACAATTGTCATTTACTTATTTGCTACTTATCACTAACGTTCTTACCAATGATTAGAGGTTTCTAGAAATGATGGCGGAATACAATTTAGACTTGCTCTACCTATCATCAGCCTCTTTTCTGAAGGCTGATAATTAAGCTGCCACAAACCAAGGAAATAAAATCCTCTCACTACACACGCGTGATGCAGCAGTAAGCAGGTCTGCAGAGGAGGCTGTGTGTACATCTGTGGTTGTTTTCGTCAAGGGTGACAAAATTGTCCCTAAAGAGCTTTTTGAATTTTTTTTTTCTGAGCCTTTCAGCAGATTTCTGCTTGAAGAAGCATAAAATATGGGTCAGGCAAGAGTTATGGAGTGAGCCAGAAGGAACTCTTTCTGTCCCTCCGAGGTTTAGTAGCATGCTAGGAAACCTGAGGGGGAAGATGAGACAGATTGCGCCAGATCATCCCGAGGCCTAAACATCTCTGTTTGTATTTAGAAATCCCTGGAAACGGTTTCTTCAAGCCAGTTGGTTTGGTTGAATGCAGGCCATGCCATTTCAGAAGGTGACACCTACCAGGGAAGATAATTTAGAAAGTAGTTTTGGTTTTGTTTTTGTTTTTTAAGCCATACCAAATGAAAACAAATTGAAGCATTCTTAAAACCTTGACAATGAATTACTTGACAAATATTTTACATTTTAAGTGCAGTTTGAAATTCCTGAACTATTTTGTTTGATACGAAGGTTTTAGGTGAGTTTTGAATTTAGAACCAGTATAACAGGATGAACAGAAATTTCCCTCCACTCTGGGCAGTAAGATAAGAGCCGTTGGGACAGGTGGGAGAGGTTAGGTGAAAAGATGGGTCATTGAATTAGTTGTATGAGGGAATTCTGATTGAGTTCCTTGGTGTGGCCGAATTGTAGGAGAACAGCCTGAAGCTACTTCCATAGACCGCTGCTGGGAACTCCACTTTCAATATGGCTCATTGCGGCACCTGTCAAAGAGCTTCATATGCATATGTTGCCGTGGGAACTCATGCTAAGCCATCACTCTGTGGGAGCTGCTCTCTTGGGCAAGTGACAGTGGGTGGGTTGGTTGGGAAACAGGGTGGGCACTGGGAGTGGAGGGAATTGTTGGATTACACAAAGTGGTAGCTGATCAGTGTCTCATTCTCTTCCAACTGGAAGTAGAAGGTCACTTTTGGTCAGAAGGAATTTAGCATTCTTTATTTTTGGGAGAGAGAGGGTCCAAAAGGGAAGTCAAAGAGAAGAGAAATCAGAATGAGTTTGTTTAGAGGTGAAGTCCTTTGTAAAATTTGTAACAGGGTAATAAAAAACAGATTTACCGTATTCATTTCAATGTGTTCATTTAAAAAAAAAACTTGGATAGTTTAATATAAAAAAATTGAAACTGTAATGATGTGACACAGCAAACATCCAACAAAATCTGAGAGAATCAAATTGGATAATTTCAGCTTTCAAACTTCTATGCCTGTTTCTCTGGAAGCGAGGGTTTTCTTTGGTGTCTGTGAAAATCAAAATTCTCTTCTAAAGTTTTTTTTTTTTTTAATAGTTTCCATTTTCTTAGAGTGATTGATTATGCATTGTCAACTCTTTCTGTAGTCACCTAACATTTATTGCCAGAAATGTCTCTTCAATACATACAGAGTCACAGACAGTAAATGAATAACTTTGACCATATGACACTTTCTCTTGTTTACAGACCTTCATTCACAAAGGTGAATCCACTGACCTACCACAATGGATAGTTTTTGTTCTTTTCAGTAGTAGCCATGGGTCTGCATGGAGCCATCCACATAAAGTATGTCTGATTCACACTGGGGATTTACATGTTAATTTCATCTGACATGATTAGCAAGACCAACTGGACTATCGAAATATTAAACTTGTATTCAATATTGTTGTGCCTTAGCCCAATGGTCTAGCTATGGACCTATATAATTAGATGTGACTACAAATACATGATCTGAGAAGAAGAGAAAGGCCTAATTTTAACATCCAAAGTCCTTTAAATTCTATTTATGACACATCTTTAACAAAGTTAAACTTAATTTTTAAAATGCAAATTATTGTACTTTGGGCTCTAGGAAATCATTTTCAAAAAGTTAATTTAAAAAAATTACCACTAGAGAGCAGTACCCTGAGGAAATGAGACAGACAAATGCTGATGAAGGAAAAATGAGAAGCATGGAGCATAAGAAGGCTGGTGGGGACACGTGTGGGACCCTAAACAGAGGGGACAATAGGAGCATGGGTCTGGGAACATTATAACCTTGGTAGGAGGGATGGAGGAATCATGGAATCGGGGAAATGCTACCTAAAGAGAGACAGATGAATTCCACAGGCATTATCTGGCTACTTAACAGTATTTCCTAAATCCGGATATCTCACCAAGAATTAGTTGATTTTTTTTCCTCTTTTCATCTACATGTATTACATTATACAAAATCATGATATTTTCACCCATTCTTCACTATACAGGATAATTTT